CCCCCCCGGCACCAGTGTTGCCCGCTCAGCATCCCCAGGCTGATGCTGGGCGTGCAGGGACACCGGTGGGTGCTGAGGGCAGCCGGGCACCGCCGGCGCTCACCTTCTTGTGTCCCGGCTCCTTCTCACCGGCGTTGGAGGGCTTGCGGCGCAGCATGGTGCTGGGGCCTGGTGGCAAGGGTACAGTGTTGGGGCAAGCGCCTGACACGGCACGTACCGAAGCACCGGCACCGAGGCCGGGAAGCGCACAGGAAGCCGGCGGTCACATGAGAGGTGCTTGCAGCGGCGCGGATCAGGGTGGCTGGCGGGTGCGCAGGCTGGGGCAGGAGGAAGGAAACCCTCCACGAAGCTGCCGCCCTGCCCAGGGCCCCCCCCGGGGTGGGGGATGCCTGCCTGCACCCTGCCAACCCGTGGCGATGCTGCCGCCCCTCGGTGATGCTGCTGGGGGGCACTGCATTCCCCACACTCCCCGCCATGCAAAGGATGAAGGTCCCCAACCCCTCCACCGTGCCCGCTCCTTCTCCCTGCTGGCACACGATGGCCAAGCCCGCTGGGCAATGCTTGGTCTGGGATGTCCCCTGCCTCCGCAGGTCCTCCTGGCTGGGCATTGAGCCCAGGTGGGACGCACACATTGGCACCCTGCTGCTGGCACCCGTGGGGCAGCGGGGACAGCCCCGGTCAGGCCAGTTCCCCCATCTCTGCTCCCAAGAATTAAAATCTGCCCTGAATCTGCCTCCTCTATGCCAGTGCTGACTCGGCCACCCCAGGGCAGGGCAGATGGCATGAGCTGGGCACCACATGTGGGGCTGGGGGCCACGTGGGGCCGGACCCCAGCCCCACATCAGCCATTGAGGCATCGGCCAGGCTGGCGGCACACCGGGCTGCCGCGGCAGGGCACAGCAGTGCGCAGGCACCCGCCGACGTTGCTCGTGTTTAATCACAAATGAGCAAATGGAAAACAAAAAAAAGGAAGCGAGCGGCAGGGAGAAGAAACGGCTGCGGCAGGGAGGGGGCTGGCGCGGGGTCAGGCTTGCAGCCCGGTGAGCAGCGCAGAGAGGAGGGAGGCGAGGACCAGCGTGCCGAGGGTGGCGGTGGCAGTGGTGGCACTGCCCAGCGGGAAGGGCTCGGTGTTCCTCTGCAGCCAGCGGTACTCCTCCTCCAGCCGCTGCCGCTGCAGCTCTGGCCCCACGCGCACCCGGATGGTCTCGTAGTAGGCGTTCAGGTACTGGATCTGCAGCCAGGCAGCGCGGGGGGCTGCGGCGGGGGCTGCCCGTGCCACCTGCACCACCTTTGCCCCCCCCCATCTAGCTACCCCACAACGTGATCACTGGCCCCATCCGCAGACCCTGTTGCCCCTCTCCATCCACGCATCCATCCCTGCCCCGGCCCCATTTACCCGCCCTGACCTCACACTGCGGTCCTGATTTCCCACTACATCCACTCCCTCAGCCCCCTTCCCTCTCCCTGTACCCCAGCCCCACGTCCCAGCTCTGCCCCCCTGCCCCGAGCACCCCGTACCTGCTCCGGTGACAGGAGGCTGAGGTCGATGAGGTTGCGGTCGTAGGGCACCAGGGACACCACCTCGAAGGTCAGGAAGGGCTTCTCCCCGGTCTGGTGCTGCCGCAGAGAGCTGGCGTTGGGTGCCCCCAGCCCCACCGGGGGGCATGTGTGCCCCCACCCCTGCCTTGATGCAGCCCCCCCGGCGCTGTGCCACCCTCACCAGCCCAGCCCCATTGCGCTACCTTGGTCTGCGCCTCCACCACGAGGGCGACATCCTCGATGCGGATCCCAAACTCGCCATCTCGGTAGTACCCGGGCTCTGGGGGCCGGGGAAGGTGCCCGGTGAGTCCCGAGCCCCAGCAACTCCCCCAGCCCATCCCACCCCAGAAGGGCAGGATCTGGCCCCTGAGCAGGGCCGAGAGTTGAACGCTTCATCCCCTGGCTGGGCTCCACGCCTCAGGGACACCCCCAAGAGCCCGAGGCACCAGTTGGAGCCATGGGCGTGCGTACCGATGGAGGTGAACATGCCGGCCATCAGGGGCACGTTGTTGGACTGGAAGCCCACAGGCCCTGCAAAGGACACGGAGTGGGTTATGGCTCCTGGGGATGGTGTGTGCCAAAGGGACACCCCAACAAGGACCAAGGTGTCACCCCAGCAAGGACCACGGGGCCACATCAGCAAGGACTACGGGGCCACATCAGCAAGGACTGCAGGGCCACCCTGGCAAGGACTACAGCACCCTGCAAGTAGGGTACACCCGCCTACAGCAAGAGGCTTAGCTGGGCTATCAGAAGCCCCAGATGAGCCTTTGTCCTTGTCCCTGTCCCCTGGAGCTCAGCCCATGTCCCCAGCGCTGGTGCTGGTGCCGCAACACCTACACTCATGGACCGAGAGGAAGTTGCCGATGCCGTGGCCGGTCCCATGGCCATAATTGAGTCCCACGTTCCAGAGTGCCCGGCGGGCGAAGGACTCCACCACTCGCCCTGGGGAATGAAGAGGTGGGAAGGCGGCCAGCGAGCCAATGAGGGCCCCCACCACCCTCCTCTGCCCCATGCCTGGGGGCACCTGGGCAAGGCTGGGCTGCCTGACGCCTGGCTCAGCACCCACCTGCTGTGTTGGGTGGGAAGATGAGGCGGGACAGGTCGATGTTGCCCATCAGCACACGGGTGTAGGCTTCCTACAAGTGGCATGGCGGCAGGGCTGAGCGTGGTGGTGCCCGGACGCCTCCTCCTGCACATCCAGCCCTGGCTGGGACTTTGGTGCCGAGTGCTGCAAGGGGATGCTGGGCACCACAGGGGGATGCTGGCGGGCGTGGGAGAGGCTGGTACCTTCTGGAGTGGGGTCGGCACACCCCAGTGCATCGTCCGCGTGATGTCTGTCGTCCCGTCCCTGCAAAGGGGGGACGTGAACTGGGACGATGCAGCCCCAGTGCTGGATTTGGGGCCCCCTGCCACCACCCAGCGCTGGGGGGATGGAGAGGGGTTGGGGGTCTGCGCAGTGCTGGGGGGGGATCTGCGCTAAGGGCTACACACAGATATTGCCCTCCGGTGTCTGAAAGGTACATCTCATCCACAGACAGCTTCCTGCTGCTCCTGTTGGAGGGGCTACGAGGGGAAGGGGTGTCAGAGCCTGCTCCCAGCCTCCAGCTGCCCACTCCCTGCTGCCAGCCCTGGCTCTACCGGCCCTGACCGGGGCCGAGCTGTACCTGTAGTGGGCCAGTGCTGCGTTGAGCCCGCTGGCGGAGATGGACTGGAAGCTTGGCCCACGGTTGTGCTCCTGGGCCCTGGAAGGCAGCAGGGAGGGAGATGCTGGGGGTCCCCGGCTGCCCTAAGCCAGGGGAGGGGGGGGGCTGTGGCGGCAGCACTGACTGGCGGAGCATGTCGATGTGCCGTGCCCCCGAAAACTCGTCCACCTGCCCCTGTGGGACCATCTTCTCCAGCCACAGCAGGTACTGGATGACAGCCACTGCGTCCCGAACCTGGGGGTGGCCCAGTGGCATCAGGGAGGGGCATCAGCACCCTGCTTCTGCCAGCTGAACCCCACTTCTGCTTGGGTCTGCGGGGACGGGGACAGCCCTTACGTGAGCGGCTCGCAGCAGCTCCTGCTCCTTGGCGTTTTTCACAGCCTTGGCCAGCATGACGGGGGAGTAGCTGTCCTCCAGCAGCTTCTCCTGCAAGGGCAGGCTGGGGGTGGCACGGCTGGGCACGGCCACCCACCCCCTTGTGCCCCGGGGATGACTGCAGCACATCCCGCACCCCCACATCTCAGTGGCACGGGGCCGTCCCCAAGCCTGGCAGGACCCACGTCGCCCACAGCCGGGCTCAGCGGCACAGGTGCCAGCGCCGGCGCTTGGCAGTGTCCCACCTGGGGGATGACGCCGTAGAGGCCGTAGGTGGTGTACTCGGTGCCCAGCCAGACGGTGACGTTGCCCTGGGCGTAGCGGCGGAGGTGGGCACGTGCCTGCCCGTACTCCTGCAGCTCCACGCACAGCGGCCCCGGGCAGCCTGCCTGCAGGGACTGCAGTGCCGCCGCCGCCAGCCGCGTCTCATCCACGAACAGGCTGGGGAAGGATGCGGGCTGGGGTGGGCGCAGCCGTGGCGTTGGCCTGCTGCCTTTGGTCCCCACCGAGCCTGGCCATGTGGGGCACGCCGGCGGAGAGGAAGGGGCTGGGGGCTGGCTGGGGGGCTCAGGGGGGATGCTGGGCTGGGAACGGTGGTTGGCCTCAGGCTGTGCTGGAAGGGAGAGTGCTGCACCCCAGGGTGGGCTGCGAGGTGGGGGGGCTGGACCTGGGAATGATGTGGGGCTTGGAAGGGACACACAATGGGGCTGGGCACTGCAGGATATGGTGGGCTCTGGGGAGGGGGGCAGCTGGGCCAGGGGAGGGTCCCATGGGTGCTGGCCCTGGAAGGGAAGGGGGGTTGCTGAGCCCCGTCCATGCCCCATGCCCACAGGGAGATGCTGCCCACCTTATGCTGGTGTTGGTCAGCAGGGTGTAGGAGTAGAAGACGGGGTTGTAGGGAATGTCATTTCCACGGAGGTTGAAGAGCCCTGCCAGGAACGAGACCTCCGAGCCTGTGCCCACTGTCTGCCCTCCCACCCCAGGGCTCAGAGCCCATGGCACCCTCCACGGAATCCGCCACGGCACCCACCACAGCACCACAGCTACTCACAGGCCGTCTCCTCCAGCCCTGACAGCAGCACGGCCGTGGGGCGTCGAACATGCTGCTCCATCTGCTGCCGGATCCCGGCCACCTTCTCCTGCCAGCTGCTGCCTGGAAGGAGAGAGAGCGGCCAGCTCAGCCCAGGGATCACCACGGCCCCCCGGGCTGGGGGCTGCCACGGGCGAGCATCCGCCCGGCACCCTTGGGGAAGATGGCAGTCATACCCGTGAATGCTGCCGGGAGGCTGTAGATCTCGCTGGAGGCTGGAGGGGGTCTCTGGTCACCCCACACTTGATCTACAAGGTTGGTCTCGATGGGGAGCAGGGTCCTGCCAGAGCCGTGCAGAGCCTGGCTGTAGCTGTTCCAGGTGTCTGAGGGAGGGGAAACAGCCTGCGGTTGGGGGCACCTGGTAAATCCACACCAGGGACCTGCCCTCACATCAGGCAGGGTCACCCCATGTGATGACCAACCCTACCGATGGAGAAGAGGAAGGGGTCCAAGCTGATGTTCGCCCCCACAGGAACTGCCTCCAGGATCCACAGCCCGATGGACTTGATCCAGGCTGCAGGAGAGAGCTGGGTGGCACCACGAGGATGAACTGCGTCCTAGCCCATGCTGAGCCCAGATGAGGCCATGGTGTGGGCTAGGGCGGTCCTGGGGGCAGGGGAACGCAGCAGCCTCCCAGCCTCCCCCCCACTGACTTGTCCTCTGCAGCTCCCAGTTGCAGTCCAGCTGCCGCTCTGCCTGGATCCAGTAGCGGCTGTCGGTCCATAGGGCAGCCTTGTCCCACGTCACCACTACGGTGCCTGGGACAGGATTGGGGGCTCAGGCATCACTTCTCCCCCCACTCCAGGCAGCCGGCAGGGACCCCCAGGGATCCCTGCCCTGACCTCCTGTGTGGAGCAGGACCATGCCCTGCCCTGAGGAGCCCCAAGGATGAGGACCAGCAGGCAGACGGGTGCTGGACCCCCCCAGCAGGGACCCCAGGTGGCAAGGATGCTCTCACCTGCAGAGCCAGTGAAGCCGGTCAGCCAGCCCAGCCGGGAATCCCGCTCGGCGATGTACTCGCTCTGGAGCCGGGGATGGAGCCGTGAGAGGTGGCCGTGGGTGCCGGCTGGGGAGCTGGTCCCCAGGGGCACAGGCAGGCTGCTGCCTTACCATGTGGGCATCCGTGGAGGGCACGATGTAGGCATGAACGCTGTGGGCTCGCATGGTGCCCCGCAGAGCGGCGAGCCGCGCCGTCGTGTTGATGGCCGTAGGCGGCAGGTACTGGTGGCACAAGGGGACATGTGGTGGGGAGGGCACCAGCTGCAGTGGTGGGGCTGGGGGGGATGATTCCATGGGGGGTGTCCCAGGAACAGGGAGGGCTGGGCACGGCGGGGCTCACCGGTGGGTCCGCGGAGCAGTTCCGAATGTCGGTGTTGGCGGAGGCAGCCTGCGGCGGCTGGTCCATGGCACAGCCTGTGGGCATAGGAACGCCCTGGAGCCTGAGGCTGCAGCCCAGGGTCCCGCTGGCCCCTTGCTCCAGCCCAGAGCCAGCACCGGGCAGCTGTGACCCTTTTCCCCAGACCCAAACAGCAAGCCAGACCAGCTTTGGACTTTTTTCAAAAAACAGTGTTTCTAGCCCCAGGACTGGTGGGTGAAAACCAACAGCATTACTCAGCTCAAGAGGAAGTAAACGCTCTCAAGCATGGCCAACACCCATGGCACGCACGGAGATGGCCCCGGCGGTGTGGTGGGATAGGTGCGAGGTGCAAGCAGTGCCCATCATGCCTGGGAGGTTGGGAGGGGGTTGGCAGGAGCCAGCCCTGAGCATCCCTGGCGCTGGGGCTGCTGGAGGACATGGCCAGCAGCCAGGGATGTGCCTGCGCACGACCTGGCCTCTCCCCAGTGCTGCTCTGTGTCTGGTGCCACCACCGGCACCGCCCTTCCCTGAGCTCTCCATCACTGTCACTGCTGCAGTCTGCGGGCAGGGAACTGGTTCTTTATCTCAGGCCAAAGGCACCAGGCTCGGGTCCGTGGGGCAATGGGTCGCCCTTACCATGGTGTGGCCTTGGGTACCTGGTCTCCTTGCCCCCAGGAGCTGCTTCTTACCCATCACCCCCCAGAGCTCGTCCCTGGGGTCAGGCAGGCAGGATGAGCCCCTCTCCGCAGCCTGGCCCCCTGCCCAGCGGGGCTGGATCAGCAGCACATCCCTGGCTTCCTAAGGGCAAACCCACCCTTTCTGCACCCAAAGTTGTGGTTTGGAGTGCTGCAAAACACCCCTACTTCCTCCACGCTGGGACCTGTCTGGTTCCCAGAGGGGGGTCCCAGGAGGTGTCGTCCCCTGGCAAGCCCACCCCACCTCCCAGCCCCTCCGACATACCGTGGAGCAGGAGTACCCAGGCTGCGATCCACTGCGGGGGGTGCATGGCTGCCCTGGAGGTGCCCAGCAGGACGGGGAGCAAAGGGGACCTTTCCACAGTGCTTTTGGTGACAGGTCCCTCCTCCTGTGCCTTTGCCCCAGGGGTGGAGGGATGCTGGATGGGAGGGCCAAGGCCCGGAGCAGATACAGGCGGGGGGAGGGTGTTGTCCTATGCACTGAAAGCGATTCCTGCTGCTAAATAAAAGCAAACAGCAAAATCAGCACAAAGTCCAAAGATCCTCCCAGAGCAGAGGTGGGGTTGTGCCAGCTCAGCCTGGCACGTGCCAGCTGCCCAGGGTTCAAAGCAGGCGAGGAGCTCTGCTCTGCTCCCTTGTGTCCCTGGGGAAACCTCTATCCCCTGGAGCCACGGAGACTTGACATGGGGGTCCTGGGGTGAGGGCAACCTGGGGGGGCCATGCTGCCGGGGCCAGCCGACTCCTGGAGCCAGCCCTCCTCCTCCACCAGGACACGGAGCAGTGCAGAGCATCCCCCTGGGCACAGCTGTGCTGGTCCCCACCCCAGCGCCCCGTGGCACCCCCGAGGCTGGAGCTGGCAGAAGCCGGGGTGGGGTTGGGGGGGACTTCACAGCAATTGCTAAATATCACAGATGTCACGGGGAGGCAAAAATGCCCTTCCTCCCTGTAGGGCCCTAACTGCATGAGCAGGGCTGGGAGCTGGCCAGTGGGGCAGCCAGAGCACCGATGAAACACGTGCCCCAGTTTTTGGCTCCTGCAGATGGCTGTGTGCTGGTAACACATGATTTTGCATCCCCTGGCCACGGCTGGCCCCCTGATTTTTTTTACACAGCTGTTCTTCCACTGTGGCTCTAGTAACAGGGTCAGCAGTCTGGCACCAGCAGGCTTTTTATGCCAGGGAAAAGCCAGTCGGCACTGAGGACCACGTCAGTGCCCGTACCACTCTGGCTGCTCCACGCTGAAACCTCTGCACCCCTTTGGTGAGGCAAGGTGCTGGCACCCAGCCGTGGGTGGGAAGGAGCCGACCATCCTCAGTGGCGAGGCTCTGAGCTCCCCGGGAATGCCTGTGGGCAGTGCCACAGCAAAGCGCGGCGAGAAAGGGATGGGAGAGGAGCAAGAGACGGCACGGGCAGCAGCGTGGTGCACCGTGCTTGCCGATCCTCTGGTCTGCAGGCTGGCTGTGGGTCCCACGCACCTGCAGATGCTTCGGGATGCATGAAAGGTGGTGGTGCAGGAAAACCCCGAATGCTCTGGGGATGGGACAGGTCTCACTGGGTATTCCTGGCCTGAGGGAGGCTGGCTGGAGGGCACCCAAAATCCTGCCACGGGCCCCCCTGTGGACTGCAGAAGGAGCAGAGGCAGATGCTCCCACAGCCCCTGCATGCCCTGCCCAGCCCCTGCCTGTGGGTAGGGGCAGAGCCAGAGAGGGGTCATGAGGGAGCACGGGGACCCCGCAGGACACGGAGATGGTGTCCAAGAGGAGCGCGGAGGGATGGGGCCAGAGCACGCGTGGTGCTGGCATCCCGGCTTTTAGCCAGTGTGATTACACAGAAAAGGGACTGGGCTTTGGAGAGACAGAGCTGAACGTCTGACCCCACCTCTAGTGTGTGGGTATGGGTTTCTGGGGAGCAGGAATACATGTGAGGCCTTGAAGGTAAGCGCGGGGTAACTTCAGTGCTAGCAAGAGCACATGGTCCTGCTAATGGAGTAATACGAATAATAAATTTGGAATGCATTAGTGGGTCAGGTTGGAAACGCTGGCAAAGGAGACAACGGCAATATTTTAGCATCGAGCAGCCTTATGCGATCAGAGATGCGTTTGGCAGCAGCGTATGGAGGGAGGGGAGCATGATGGTGGTAAACAGACTGAGCTATGCCATGCAGGCAGGGTACCAGCCCCTGCCCACACCCCAGGCACAGGTCTTGGGGACCAGCGGCCACCTCCGAGGGCTGCGCTGGGACCCCGCTCCCTGGGATGTGCCCTTCGTCCCACCAAGCCCATGAGCTCCAGACTGCTGTGGCATTGCCTTGCTAAAAAGCTCATTATGTTAGTCATAATGAGCCTTGACCCTAAGGCCTGTCACTTTTATTGCACACATATTTCCTCTAACTGGTTTGATGACTTCTCTGTGGTTATTGAAGAGAAAGGCTGGCTGAAGGACAGACCTGTTGTTGGCAGACAGCAGAGGTGTCCGTCCACTGTCAGACACGGACCTTCAGGGGAGGATGCATGTACCCACCCAGGACAGGGGTACCTGGAGGAGTCCCTGCTGGAGACTTGCTCATCACAGACTGTGAAGCTCCTTTTCACCGGCCGGGATGTCTCACAGACCTGCTGCACCACAGGGTGGCTGCAGCATCACCGTCACAGCCAGCTGACTGCCAGACAGCCCCGGGGCTCTGTCTGAGGGCACAGCCAGCTGCGTGGCACAAACACACATTTGGAGGAGGGTAAAAGAGAGAGGGGACCGGGTGAGGTGTGGGGCAAGGATGGGAGGCGTGCTGAGAGCAAACGCCGGGAGAAGGCTGGAAGGACCTCGCTGCCATTGTGGCAGGACCTTGCGCTTGGTGGCTTGCACAGCACGATGCAAGTTGTAGGCGATCTGGTAGGCCCTACAGTGAATGAACAAACAGGTGTTTTACAAACAAACCTCCCTGAAAATATAAGAGGTCCTTCAGGAAACCTGGGCAGCAAATCCCTGTGGACTCCCAGTGCGACGGGCAGAGAGGAAGCCCTGCCCGGCTGGCTCCTGGGCTCTGGCGGCTGCCTGCCACCCCTTCCCTCCTCCTCACAAGCCTCTCTGCATGGCCAGACCCCTCTCCTGGGATCACCTCCAGCACTGGGCTGTGGGTCCCTGCACCATCTCACATGAGCTCTCTGCTTCCCCTGTGCGGGCACAGCCACGAGGCTGGATACAGCCAGGCCAGGGATGGGAGCCACGGACCCCCTCAGAGGCGCTGCCCCTTTCCAGCAGCATTTCATGACCTGTTGGACAGCCAGTTTTTAACCTGTTTAACGTGGCAGCACTTCTGTGGTATCCTTCGAGCCTCTCGAATGGCAATGGAAATCCTTCATCGGCCCCAGGGCAGCTGGCATGTTCCATCCCGGCGTCACAGCAGCACTAAGGGAACCGGCACAGGCTGCCTCTCCGGGCGCTGGGATTTGGGGTGACCAGGCTTGTCCCCCAGAGTGGAGAAGCTCACAGTGCCAGGACAGCAAGGATGAAGGGAACCTGCTGGGCAGTGGGCTGCAGCCGGGACCAGCTGCTGCAGCGCCTGCCAGCACCGGGACACACATCGCGGCCCCTTGGCCACCCTCTTGTCCCAACCTGGTGCCCTCGACCCTCCAACCCTACTTTTGCTGGCATGAGCCGGCTAGTCGGCTCTAGGGGGTGGGGAGCAGCCTCGCCCTGGGACTGGAGGGTTGGGGGGGGAGTGTGCCCACATGGCCACTGCCCGGCTTTGCCACCAAGCCACTGCTGAGGCTGTGTGGTGGTTGCCTGGCCCGCAGGGGGATTGTCCGTGTGTGCCATTGTGGGGGCTGTCTGCTCCATGCCGTGACCGTCTGGCTGTGTCACCGCAGAGACTGTCTGTCCAGCTGTGTGTCACCGCAGAGACTGTCCAGCTGTGTCACTGGGATCCTGCTCACCACGAGGTGGCACCAGGACTGCGCTGTGGAGCCGCACAGACCCCTGTCCCCCTGTCCCTCTGTCCTCTCCCCTGTCCCCTGCCCGCCCACCCGGTCCTGCCACAGCTCCGGTGCAGTGCTGGGGCCGACAGCAGCAAAGCCTGGTGGTCCCGCTGCCATCCCGTCCCTGCCTGCGGGCAGGCCGAGGACTGGCGCACTCATGTCACAAATGCTCTCAGGATGCCTGGCCCTGGTGTCACCCTCTGGTCCCCTGCTCAGAGAAGCCTGGGGGGGAGGGTGCGGCACTGGGGATCCCCAGCCCCAGCACAGGCAGGATAGGGACGGGGGACGCAGGGTGACACCAAAGCTGCCTGTAATTGTTATGGCAACAAAAGTTTCTCAAGGATGTGCGACGCGGTTGCCGTGGTGACGGTCAGGCAACAGTCTGCTGCCATCCTGCTAAT